AAATCAGAATAATATATACCTGTTTCATCACCATAGAAAGTCTTAGTGTCATAACACTTACATATGGTAAAAACGTTGAAACCATATATTTGTGAATAACCTAGTATGTAGAAAAGCAAAGAAAGAAGGAAAAATAAAGAAGATAAATAAATTAAAACATACTTGACGTCGAATCTCTAGAAATTTTTTGATACAATTCACGGGCAATTCTCGCGTTACATTATTTGGTGAAAGTGTTCCGGCAGTTCCTGATGATGAAGAGTTTGTTGAAGATGAAGTTGACGAAGATTGCGTATTAGTTGCTGTTGGTGTTATTAAATTATTTGACGATGAACTTGATGTTAAAGTTGATTGTGTTGCATTTGATCTTTCACGTAGTTTCCGTTTGTTTGGTGGTAAAGTATCAAAATCATTTAGTTTATTTGTACCATCGCCACTCGAACATGAACTACCATCATCGTTCAAACTCTTGGCTTTATCTGCTGTAACAAGAGCAAAAGAAAAAAACAATCAGTAAACGTTAGTAACCAGAAATGTTAAAAAAGTACCTACCGGTATCATTTGACATCATATCATCGGAACTGTTGTTGCTTGAATTTTGATTTTCATCATTATTATTCGATGGTGGTCCAAATTGATTATTAGTCAGATTATTTTCACTCGTTTGTATTGTGTCAGAATTCGTAATAGCTTGATTTTGTGGTTGTTTTTCAATTTTTCGACGTTGTTGTCTTTCATTATCTTTTCGCGTCCTTTTATTAATGTCATTTGTTGTCATGATGCTACTCAACGTTTGCTTTCTTGCATGAGAACGTAATGTTCTCGTACATTTCATTTCACGACGGTGAGAAACTTGTTGTGGCATTGTAGTAGCCGTATTTTCTGGTTCCTGCTCTAATTGTGGCTGTTGTTCCTCTTGAGTCAATGTCGTTGTGCTAATTATTTCTGTTACAGTTGTCGTTGTTGTAGTCGTAGTTATGATCGATTGATTCGTTTCGGTTAATAATGTAGTGGAAACATCTCCGTCAGTAGGTGGAGATAGCGAGGGTACAACGGCCATTATTTTAGGTACATCGGTATTCAGTGGTTCTAATATTTGTCGTTTTAGTGGTGATAATTCCTCAGATTCGTTGTCAACATCCTCAAATGAACGTTTCATTACAGTAACAACAGTCGAAGAGGAAGACGAACAGGATGACGGCGTTTCAAAAAGAGTTTCAGCATTGGTTTCTTCGTTAATCGTTGTTGTGTCTTTCGATGATGATGTATCAATAACAAGAGCGCATGTGTCATCCTCGATGACTGTCGTTGTCGTTGTGGTAGTATCTGTTGTTGTTTGTATTGTGTCTTCTTTTATTGGTTCACCAGTAGTAGTATCTTCCAGTGACAAGGGAGAGCTGGAAAAAAAACATTATTATTTTTTCTTATTTAGATTTTCATGTTGAAAGATCATTTTTTTCAGTGGCGTGTATATATTTTATTTCTAAAATTGTTCAGTTATTTTTTTTCTTCTTAGTATCATTTCTGTTTCTCTCGTTCTATATTTCACAACTAGCACAATCTTTTTCATTGATATACCTGCATACTCGTTATTATGAGTTTTGTCATAAAAAGTCTGTTGATCTTTCTTCCGAGTTTTTTTCTTTTCTTTCTTTGCTTTTCTACATACTAGGTTATTCACAAATATATGGTTTCAACGTTTTTACCATATGTAAGTGTTATGACACTAAGACTTTCTATGGTGATGAAACAGGTATATATTATTCTGATTT